CCGCGAGTAGTGTTAACGGCCTTGCTTTATGTGGGTCATGAAACAAGGTCCCACTAGCACGAGGAGCACGAGGAGAGCACGACGAGCACGAGGAACACGACGAGCACGAGAGAAGCAGAGAACGACGCAGCGGCACGGCGCGCTCCACTCGAGCTCCGTTTCATACTTCCATAGACTTACACGCGCACACGCGGTGCTCTCTCGCGAACGTCATTGCACACAGCACACGTGCGCCAGCAGAATTGTTGTTATTTATGCTCCTTAAATACGTAGTTTTTTCTCTTCTTTTCTTTTCTTCGGCGCTGAATACGTACGGTAAATATTGCATAAAGCGGTTAGCTTGTCACAGGTAAAGATTACAATGGCTCGGAAAAGTATTCCAGCGTCCCTACAAACTTTTTACGTACGTATACGGATATTCTGCGAAACATTTCGAAATCTCGTTAGCGTTATAACGAGATAGGACAGTCTCTCGCGATTATATTAGTTTCGAAACGCATCTCAAGATATACGCGCACGCGCACAAACATATATATAGAAGTTACAAGATATTTATCGGAAGCATACACTTCGCAAGCTATTCGCCAAACTATTTGAACAGTCGATTATTCGTTATATCAATAAACCAGGATATTTAGCGAGACCATCTTTGCCACCATCAGTTGTACGTTCAAGACCGTTATTTATGTTCTATACTAATGTTTCGCTCGGCGTATGTTCGTAATAAACGTCCTGTAACTTCTCTATACATTTTCGCAATAACTTTTTAATTTTATCACCGCAATTACGATGGTCGCGTCTCGTTGCAGCGCTAACGAAACTTCTAAACGTTTCGTATAACGCGTACAATCATATTCATAAAAATCTTCCGTGGTAAGCGTTGGAATACTTTCACGAAATTTCGAAACCGATCGAGGATAATTTTATATGTTGATATACGGTCGAAAGTGTGAAATAAAATATTTGTAAAGAGGTGTATTTGTCGTCGAGAGAACAACGATGGGTAAGAAATTTGTCGAGTGCACGTGCGAAGCATTTTGTTTTTATTTACTAGCGTAGACTGAATTGTGTGCTGTTGCGCGTAGAACTCTGTTTTAGAAACCAGAGTATTTCAGAGTATTTCAGCGCACTTGACTCTTTTCAAGAGTATGCGTCGCACTTGACTCTTTTCATTTTTTCAATGTC